AAAAAAAAAAAAAAAAAAAAAGAACTATGCACATCCAAAGAGAGGTTTTTTTTTCCCCCCTTCAAATACCCAACACCATGACCACCAAACCCACTGCTCTCATGTCTATTCCGACTCGTGACCCCCACTGGGTTTCCACGCTTGTAAATCTTTATGGAAGTAGATTGTCTCATCTTCCTCCTGAGGAGCAGCTGGTGGGTTTGAACTGCTGACCTTCTGGTTAGCAGCCAAATGTCTTACCCACTACACCACCAGAGCTCCTTTAACACCAACATAAGGAAGTGATATACTTGGGGAAAACAGAATCAGCTGGCAAGCCTCCAGAGAAAGCAGGGTCAAACCTGCTCTTGGTAACACCATTGCAAAGAGGATACTTAGGGGGCCTCTTTGAATTGTTTCAGCAGAATTGCTTGACATTTCATATCATTTGTCTCAGATCTTTAAAAGATAGCACTTTTTTCTTTTTCGAACTTCTTATTGTAGTTTGGGTAAAAGTTTGCAGAGCAAATTAGTTTTTAATTCAACATTCTATACACATTTTGTTTCACGACAGTGGTTGGAATCCCCTCAATGTTACAGAACTTTTCCCACTTTCTCCCTGGGTTCCCTGGTTCCATTCAGCCTTCTTCCCTGCCCCTTCCTGCCTTTTGAGCTTTGGTTTGGGGCAGATGCTGCCTTTTTGGTGTTGGACAGTTGCTTGTATGAGAAGCGTGTTCCTCCTTGGTGTTACTGTTCACCTTATAGGCCTATTTTTCAGCTGAACATTGAGCCACTGGGCTGAATTCAGTTCCAGGCTTAAAGAATGACTAAAAGTCACAGTCTTGGGGGTTCTGCCAGTCTCTATCTAAGCCTGTTTTTATTTTTATTTTATGATACTGAGTTTTGTTCCACATTTTCCCCCTACTCTGTCCAGGACTTTCTATTGTGATCCCTTTCAGAGTGCTTGGTAATGGTCACTGGGCACCATCTAGTTCGTCTAGTTTCAGGGCAGTAGAGGCTGTGGTTTGCATAGCCCACTAGTCCTCTGGACTGTTTCTTTAAGTCCTTGATTTTCTTCACTCTTCTTTACTCCGGACACAGAGAGAGACCAATAGTTGCATCTTAGGTGGCCACTCACAAGCTTGTAAGACCCCAGGGATTACTCACCAAAGTAGGATGTAGAACACTGTCTTTGTGGACTATTAGCCAGTTGACCTGTTGATATGCCATGGACATAAACCTACTATGTCCTCCTAGACGGTGGTCCTAAGTGCGCATGCCCAGTGACTCATTCCTTCAAGGTGTTTGGTTATGGGTAAGACATTTAGACGATAGAAACCAAAAAAAAAAAAAAAACCCACCAAAAACACTGCCTTTGAGTCAGATCCAACTCATAGTGACCCCTCCTTGGGTTTCCAAATCTACAAAAGTAGATTGCCCAATCTTTTTTGTGAGGAGTGGCTGGTGGGTTTGAACCGCCAGCCTTCTGGTTAGCAAGCAGTCAAATGCCTTTGGCACTGCGCCACCAGAGCTTCCACTAATAATGCTTTACTTCACTCAGAGGCACCTTCCTTAGGGCACGAACCAAATAAAGGCACTAAAAGAATGAGGAACTTGGTCAATAACAAGTTTGATAAACAAACCCAGCTTTTCCTCAAGATTAGCAGGTTATTTCCTCTCCACAGCATATCAACAATGAGAGCGTTTTGTTTGTATGCATAAAGAGCTTTGAGTCTCCCTAACCTGCAACTCTGGGGGCGGGGAAATGTGAGCAGAAGGCCGCTAACGCTGCTTTTCAGTTGGACCAAGTTGTACCAAATTGTACGCAGACTGCAGACAGGATACTAACGAGCAACCCCTCTCAACTTTACTCCTCTCTCAAATCTTGTTTACTTTGCCCCTATGGGGCACTTCCCGCGGTTCTGGCAACTTCAATACGGGTCAAGAGCAGCGCCGCAAATGCATAGAACACACCTAAGGGATTTCGTCTGAGAAGTCCTTCCCTTGAAACTGCATTATCTAAAATCAAAACGCGCTATCGAATGTCTGCTTCCGCAAGGTGCTTAGTCTAGGAACGGCCAACAAGTCTCATGTCGCCTGCCCTTCAACAGCTTATGAGGAGTCTGGAGCCTTGAGTCAGAAACCTGGAAAATCAGTTCTGTTCTCTGAACCCCAACGTCTGCATTTGAACATAGGCTTCCTCAGAACCGTCGCCAGGACTGGAGGCTCTAGGACGCTGAAGGCGCTGTCTCCCGCCTGGGGTGGACCCCCGTGGGCTTCCCGCAGTCCCGTCCCCGGAAGAAGGCGTGCGCCCACCGCTCCCAGCAGCGGTTCTCCTCTCCCCCGCAGCGACGGGGGCGCCAGACAGCGGAAGCCGGCAGCGCACAGACCCCAGCGCCCCGCAAGCGAGAGGCAAGACGGGCGACGTAGCTGC